AATTTCCAGTGCGCCGATACCTGCGATTCACTTTTTCAGCATTGCCAATAAGAACACCCAAGTTTGAATGCCATGCAGGTAACGTTTTCTACATAACATCTTCACACAATCATTTTACAGCTTCCAATAACATATTAACAATTGAAATTACAGAAGTGACAGGGTGTGTGCGGCGTATCACAGTTCCAGAAACCATCGAAGGTTGTCTAAAGAAATTCGACTTGGTCATACAGGATGTCTGGTATGCTTTTCAGGATTAAAAGAAACTTATTGTTGTTTGCAAAATTCAGAAACTCACGTATTTGCCTTGCAATCAGTGGAGATAAGGCAATTGTTCGCCATTATGGGTATGATATCGGTGAATTTTTAGAGAATGCACCAGCAGCTGAACAGTGCATGCCGTTGATTGTCAAAATTACATCACTGATGCGAGTAGCTCCTACCAACGACCATAAATACCAATATGAGTTTGAATCCACACCTGCCAGTCGACTCAGCATTCGTTCCTACACAGATGGCTGTGAGGATGTCATGGACATGTACAAATGAGTTGCTTTCTTTTGCCGTGCATTACTTATTGTTTTATATTACAGAAACAGTAAAGGATAACTGACAATTTTTTTATCGCAAGATAGCTTTGTAGGCCCGCAAACCAGTTTGGTACATGATGGTCCAGCTGGAGAAAAAATTGGTTGGCTCCGCACCAATCGGCCACCAAAGAAAACTCTAGCAGAAATCAAGGAGCAGCTCAATGGCCAGCCAGAAAGACAAAAGGTACTTACAGAACTTAATGCTTTGCAAGATAAACAAGCAACCACAACATTCTTTCTCAACTTCTTACTAACCAAGACATTAAATTCTTTACCACAGATCCTTTATCAATGCATCATCCACATCTCACAGGTTGTGTATAGAAAGAGCATGTGCAGTTCAACTCCAGAACGACCAGAGTGAGTTTGCAACACCTAGGTCCACCTTTTTCTGCAACACTACTTTTCAAATTTTTGGGGCAAAACTAACCGCAACCTTTTTTATTGCAAGCTTGCATTATAAATTGGCTGTCAGGTGTCGTCAAGGTTCAGTCGAAGCTGATGTTGTGTTCGAACATGAAGCAGTCCTCTCACTAATTCATGTGTCGCCCGCAAAATTTCGTTACATGAAAAAAGAAGAAGTTGTGGCACTTATTAAGAGTAGTTGTGTCCAGACATTTGCAGCAGAGTTGTACATTGCCTGGCCAGATTTGAGCAACAGTGCTTCCAGAGCTGCCGGACAGATCAGAGTTGCCACACTCTGGGACCGAACTGCCTTCGACAAATGATCATGCTCTCTCATCCATAACATTGTTTGATCAAGAAATCGTTAACCATATTTTATTTCTTGGTCAAACTTCCCAGCTCCCTGAATTTCATGTCCCCCACGCATCATCGGACAGTTGATTATATGTATGCATGCTCGCAACTATCAGACACTTTTGCAGATTCAGGTTTAGGGAGTTTATTTTGTGGGCCATATGGTCCTTATGGAAATCTGGGCATAATGTTTAGTGTTCCATTGATGGATGCTTAGGTTTTATTGAGATAGCAAGTTTTAGTACTCGTGTGTTTGCATAGTGCAAAATTGCATGTTGATCTGTGCATTTTACGTGACTCCAAATCAAACTGACGAGTGCATAAAGAAGAGGTTTACAGTCCAATATAATTTTTTTACAAAATACACGATACGAGTCTTGCATCCGATGATGCACAAATGGTAGGATCTAAGTGACGAAAATTGCGCAATTTCAGCATTTCCCGCCGCGAAGCGCGGGCTTATTACTAGTTATTATTAAATACATACAACGTTTATTCAATTGCAAATAAAAACTAAGAGAAGTTGAGTGTCATTTCACTTTGCACCAAAGTAAATATAATAGAGCTGCTCATCTTGACAAAACAATACTTCTCATCTTTGGTTCAACATCTTATTAACCATCATACTTTACTCTTTTTTAACTAATCTACAACAATCTTATAATTATATATTTGTATCTTGCTTTTCCCCGTCCAATCCGAAATTAAAAGTATAATAGCTCAAAACAACAATTACTGTACATTCAGACTGTTTTTCCTATTCATTGTGACTCAAAATTACTATTCACCGAGTGTTGATTGGTTGTTGGGCTGTGGTGGGCCCTCTGTGTCACTTTGGCTTCTCATTTACTCTTTGCCGCCGATTGTGTGCTGTTTTTGTTGCTTTTGCGTCGGGGGGATATGAGAGATACTGAAAGAGAAATCGCGTTGGTCACTGGGGGACTGGGTGGGGCATGTTGTCTCTCTATTTCTTGAGATTGGGATTGGGGGGTGAGATATTTTGTTCTTGGTTGGTTGTCAGGCCTCCACGTAGCTCCCTCATTTGGTCCGCTCATTCCAGCTACCCGGTCCATTCCCTAATGTCTTCTCCATAGACTACCACTGAAAAGCGACAGAGACATAGATAGCTCCTGCAACCTCTTACTCTCTTTCTCATGTCCTCTCTGTTCTCTCCTCTCAACTCAACCATGGCAAGCAGCAGCTCATTCTCTCTCCTCCTTGGTTTCTCGAAATCTCTTCTTAGCATATGAACAAAGTTTGAAGCGATCAAGATTTGGGTTTGACGGACCCGGAGTGGATCCAGAAAGTTCCAGGTTGCCCATATATGTTTTTGGTTCAGGTGATTGTTCCTCCTCTTCTGATGGGTATTTGTTTCTCTTTGTTCCTAAATGGGTTCGTTCTCTCATCCTTTCTCGGAGTATTTGTTCGATCCTTTATGCAGGTTTCTTTATCTTCTCCGACCTCTCCGAGGAACGAAGGACACGAGCTCTGTATAAGATTTGATGCACTTCTAAGTCTTACAACAATCTTTTCTGATCTCATTTGATTTTGTGGGATTTAGATTGTAGATTGGAGTCGAATCCCGACAGAGGGGAGCGAGATATGTGAAACCTAATGTTATGTGGTGAGAATTTGATGTTTTTGCTTCATCTCTCTTCTGCGATGTTTAGCTTTTTCTCAGCTTAATTCGTAAATTATTTTCTCTCTTTAAACAGATGCATGTGACAAGTTCCTGGTAGAGGTTTGGGTGGCCGGTGGTGGTTGTTGAAACCCACGTAAGTACCATCTAGAGGACAGGGTTTCTTGGATTTGAAGATCTATTAGTTGAAAAATCCTAAGCGAAGGAGAGGAGCTTCGAAATAGTGACGCCGGGCGAGATTTTCAGTCTTTCTCTTCTCTCTTTACTGCTTGGTGATTCTATATCTTACTTTTAATGTCTTCTGTTTCTCTCTTCCTCTCTAACTGCGGTGTTTGTAGAGTATTCTCGTCATCGGTGTGCGTCCAACTGAACCAAGCAAGTAACCTTTGCCATATAGTTGGTTCAGCAGGGCTGTCTTGCCTTCATGAGTTTCATCTTTTGCTTGCGATTGACAACCTCGAATTGACTTCCTTTTTGTGATTTTTTTCATTGGTTTTTGGATTTGAGGAAAGGTTGTTGGGTGATAAAGGAATTTTGTTCAACCTAACTGAGTTAGGTGGGTTCTGCAATGTTGGTGATGGTTTTGTCATTTGTGTCTTTCTGTTACATGAGAAATGGCTATCTACCTGAAAATGTGTTCTCATGTTGCCATGCTTTTTTGTTTGTGGCCTTTAGACCCTTGCAATAGTAGTTGGTTTGCTTTTGGGTTTTTACTCTGGTGATTTTGTGCTTCGGTTGTTTGTGTGTTTTCCTTTCTTTTTGGTAAAACACAACTTTCTTTGTGGAATAAGAAATGGAGTTTTAGTTTGGTGTGGTAATATAATTTATATAGTTTCCCCTGATTGCACAGAAGAGGGGGAAGACAACAACTATTCAGTACAGTTTCTTAGGAACTGCAGAATTGTTAGCACCAGCAAGCCTTCAATGAACTGTCGACCACCACCATGTTTTATTCTCCTTTCCAACTAACAGATGTCCTTTGATGTCTAAATGATTGGTAATGTGATTCGAGCTCTAAAGAATTGTGATGTGCAACTTTTATTTTCAGGTTTATCAAGGTGCAAGATCAATATAGGTTACGTGACCACATTTAGTAAGCCCACTTTTTTCCAGCAGTTGATCAATTAGAAGTTTATAGTTGAATTTTACTTTTTGGTGATCTTCATAAAATGGTATCTGTTCTTGACCAGTTGAACGCCTTTAAATTCTCTGTACTTTTTCTTGGTTGGATTGGGTTGTTATTAGCGGGGGGATATTCAAAATTTCAGCTTATTTGTACCAACTATGTATTCAAATATTATCTTGGCCAGTGTAATTTACTCCATAATGTAATTGATTTAATATGCCCTTACACATAGTTTTCCCCATTTTTGATTGGGCCTGCATAGACTACATGGGTCCTAAGTCATAATTTGTAGTTTGTTTATATTATGCATCCGAATGCTAAGTTGTGGCAAAGCTCAACTCTACATTTCGGCCTTCTTAACATTGTCTGTTTCGCTTTATGAGATGCCTGCAGGCTTAAAACTATTTTGCTTGGTTTTAAGTAGCAAATTAATTAATATTTATAGCAAATAAAACACATGATGATTGAACATAAAATAATTTGTTGATGTAATCTTTCTATTTGGTGAATATATCACAAGTCCCAGCGCAGAGCGCGGGCATGAATACTAGTATCTATGAAAAACACTCTATCTTCGTTTCAGCAGCCCCAAAGAGGAATATAAAGTTCCAGACAAAAAGAGAACAGCAATAATAAACAATGGAAGTGTGACAAAGTGAGGAAAAGCTGTAAACGTGCCAACTTGATCCAAACGCCACCATTATCCAATTCATTCATTCAGCAGCCGGTCGCCATTGAATAATGAATTTGTAGAGACTTTGGACGATTGCAGATCTTGACTGAGAAAAGAACCCTCCATCATAATTCCTCCCCACCTATATATAAATCAAGAAAACCACTGCCAAATCCCATTCCAAAACAGAGCAAGCAACTCCATCGAAAAACAATGCTCTCCCCGCTCAAAATGTCGCCAGCCATTTTCCTCTGCATCTCCTTGTTGTCCCTCTCCATCTTCCCTTCCACTCCCCAAGCCACCGTCCCTCCCTCCGCCCGATTCTCCTTCACCAACGAAGGCGATTTCGGCGACTACATCGTCGAATACAACGCGAACTACCGCGTTCTGTCCATCGCCACCACCCCATTCCAGCTCTGCTTCTACAACACCACTCCAGGGCAGTACACCTTGGCCCTGCGCATGGGAACCGTGAGGTCGAAGCCTTGATGCGGTGGGTTTGGGAGGCCAATCGTGGCAACCCAGTTGGCGAAAATGCCACTTTCTCCCTCGGCGCGAATGGAAACCTCGTCTGGCACATTCCGACGGTCGAATCGCTTGGCAATCCAACACTGCCGACAAGGGCGTGGTTGGTTCGAGCTGCTCAACAATGGGAACATGGTGCTCAAGGATTCCAAAGGCGGATTCGTCTGGCAGAGCTTCGATTCACCCACCGCCACCTTCTTGGTCGGCCAGTCGCTCCGAATCGGATCCCCGTCGAAGCTAATCAGCCGAGCATCGCCTGAAGAGAACAAGAACGGGGATTACAGTTTGGTTCTGGAACCCAGAGACCTAGCTATGTATTTCACTGGGGCAAAAAGTCGAACACCTTATCGGTACTTTTCATTCCTCGCAGCAAACCGCCTCTTCCTCCCAAACAACACCACTTTAATCAACACCACCTTCAACGCGAACCTGGGTTTCGACACACAAGTCACCAACGACGGCGCCGGAGGCGGAGGGACGTTCCTGAAAAACCCACGGTTCAACACCACTCTGTCGTACCTTCGCCTCGAAATCGACGGCAACCTCAGGGTCCACACGTTCATAATCAGCACCGATTCCGACGGGTTCCAGACCCAGCTGGGGAAATCGCGGTGACCATATTCTCCGAAGACGATCTGGGCTCTGGAGACGAAATGCCAGCTGCCGGGTCGGTGCGGCGAGTTCGGAGTCTGCGAGGACAGCCAGTGCGTCGGGTGCCCGACTCCGAACGGGCTGGCGGGTTGGAGCAGAGATTGCATGGCGCCGAAGTTGAACGACTGCGGCGGGGGAAGAAGAAGGGCGACTTTAAGTACTTCGAGCTGAAAGGGGTTGATCACTTTGTGGCCAAGTATACGAGAGGTGAGCGCCGGTGAAGCAGGAATCCTGCGCCGACAAGTGTAGCAAAGATTGCAAGTGCTTGGGATACTTTTACCACAGTGATGCGTCGAGGTGCTGGATTGCTTACGAGCTGAAGACGATGACGAGGGTCGCGAATTCGACCCATTTGGCTTTTATTAAGACGCCGCTTCTGTAGATGAGTGAAATTTGCTTTGCCAATTTCGTTTTTTACTCTTTTGTGCCAAAAGTCAAAAGTGGAATAAAGTTGACCTTTTGGGAAGTTGTCACCCTGGTTAGCAGATTTTAGTTAAACAAATTTGGTTGGTAAGAGTGACTGAGTGAAAACTGAAAAGAACGTATTCAAACTATTTCAATGTACTACTTATATTATCTGGCCACAAAAATAAACTATTGAGATTCAATCTGATAAATATGAAAATGGCAAAAAGAAAAAAAATCTGAAAATACGAAGCTTGTGTAGTATTTGTTTTTTTAAATTAAATACGAGAAGCTTGTTTGTAATTTACAGAGTTGATATGTACATAATCTGTGTGACCATCTGAGTAGAGATATATCACAATTGTACTTGTCTACGTATTTTTTTAAACATTACTAGAATGGAAGCCCGCACTTCGCGGCGGGGTTTTGATTGTTTGTAACAAAGTGTTTTTTAGTTCTAAGTACATGTTTCAGGCTTGTAAACTATTTCAGTGATAAGAAATGCTATCATTGATCAACCGATAGTGTATCATTGTGATACGATCAAATTGTAACATAAACGATTCCGCAGGTAATAAGGCATTTTGAAACATAACTTTTCTAAATTAAGTTCATCCGTACAACATATTTTGATCGACGTTGCAGTACACCTTTTTATGTTAGTAATTCAAACTTATGTTCATTCTTACAAACCAAGGACGGTCGATGACATAATTCATAGGTCAAACTATTTAGGAAATGACCAAAAATGGACCAAAACTTATGTTACAACGACCCAACCCATAAATTAGAAAAGCGTACAAAACTCGTCCTCGATTCAAAATTTGCCAATATCGGGTCAAATTAGATAAAATACACATTGATTAGAGTTCATATTGGGCAATTGGCACAAAAAGAATTAGTTAAACGGTTGACCAAAAGACTTAGATTAATCATTAACAATTTTAAATAATTTTAAAATCATAGTTGACGGGACACTAAGAAACAGTGCCCCATCTTACCGGGTCGACATTAGGTCACATACCCAATGATTTAAGTGTGCAAAACGCGTCGTTAACCAGTCAGAATAGTTGACCAAAAGATTAGATTAATCAGTAACAAATTTAAATACTTTAAAATCATAGTTGACGTGACAAAAAAAAATAGTGCCTCATCTTATCGGGTCGACATTAGGTCAAATATGTACCCAATGATTCAAGTGCAAAAACTCATTATTGAGTCAAAATTCGCAAACAACGGGTTCAACTCGCTTAAACCGGATCGAAGAAGGTCGAATACTTTTTGATTTGGGTTCAATTTGGATTCATTTGTCATAAGTTAACTAATTAGAATCTCTATGGCACAAAAACTCTTCCAAGCTTCAATAATTTAAGCGTGCAAAACTCGTTGTTGAGACAAGATTTTTTAACACCGGGTCAACTTGCTTAACCTGGGTCGAAGTAGGTCGAACACTCATTAATTTGGGTTAAATTTGAAATTAATTGTCATAAATTAATTAATTAAAATCTTAAAGACACAAAAACTCCTCCAAGCTTCAATGATTCAACTGCAACACCAGTTGTTGTTGCAAAATTCATCAACAACGGGTTCAACTCGATTTAATCCTGGTCGAAGTAGGTTGAATACCTATTGATTTGGGTTCAATTGTCAAAAGTTAATTAATTAGAACCTTGGCACAAAAACTCCTCCAAGTTTCAATGATTTAAGCGTGCAAAACTCGTTGGTTAGCCAAAATTCGGCAACAACTGGTTCAACTTGCTTTAACTAGATCGAAGTAGGTCGAATACCCATCGATTCAATTGTCATAAGTTAACTAATTAGAACCTCTATGGAACAAAACTCCTCAAAGCTTCAATCATTTAAGCGTGCAAAACTCGTTGTTGAGCCAAAATTCGTCAACACCAGGTTCAACTCCTTCAATCGAGTCGAAGTAGGTCGAACACCCATTGATTTGGGTTCAATTTTGGATTTAATTGTCATAGTTAATAAATTAGAACTTTGGATTTAATTGGCATAAGTTAATCAATTAGAAATTTAAGGCACAAAAACTCCTCCAAACTTCAATGATTAAAGCACAAAACTCGTTGTGGAGGCAAAATTCGTAAGCACTGAGTTGATTCGCTAAACTAAGCGTACAAAACTCATTGTTGAGCCAAAATTCGCCAACAACGGGTTCAACTTGCTTTAATCATATCAAAGCAGGTCAATACCCATTGATTCAATTGCCATAGTTAACTAATTAGAACCTCCTTCAAGCTTCAATGAATTAAGCGTGCAAAACTCGTTGTTGAGCCAAAATTCGTCAACATCGGGTTTAACTTGCCGTAAACTGAGTCGAAGTAGATCAAACACCCATTGATTTGGGTTCAATTTGGATTTAATTGTCATAAGTTAATCAATTATTAAAGCACAAATTTGTAAACACTCGATTCAACTCGCTTCAAATGGATCGAAGTAGGTCGAACAATCATTGATTTGAGTTCAATTAGGGTTCAATTGTAGTAAGTTAATTAATTAGTACCTTAATGGTATAAAACCTCTCCAAACTTTGGTCAATTACAAATGACCACCCCTTATGAGGGACACTATGCAATAGTAACTTGGTTACTTGTTCTTTTATATATATATATATACTAGAATGGAAGCCCGCGCTTCGCAACAAGATAATCAGTCACCATGAAATGTGATTTGAGAAAACATGAACGCTCTATATTAAAGGGAGGATCTGCTAAATGATAAGCAAAGTTTAGTGCACCCGTTATTGTTCAAGGCAAGATCCGCTAAATATTAGAGGGAGTAGCACCACATCCAATTCACTCCAACATGCTCTTAAATAGTGCAAATAAAGTGATTTGACATATTCGAGAGAAATTTAAGAGACAACCAACATTCCCTTCTGATGGCAAACCTTAAATTATCAAGTAGATATTCGATATCTGTTATTTATGAGAAAATGGGTTTGCAAGTAAATCTCTCATTCCATTTGCACTGCAAATGATATTCATGAATTGTTATTTCCAATGTGACCGTAAGCCCTTGCAAATAACAAAGCATTCCTAGACTTGATCTAATCACATCATTAGAGGCACATAAGGTATCTAAAATAAATTATTTGACCCATTCGGCATAGTTGTACAGAATTAGATCTAGAGAATACACCACACCACCTAGAAAACTAGTAGTAGTAGTAGGAGGAGGAGGAGTAGCAGAAGCACGAAAAAGTGCATAAGCGGTAGAAAATTGCATAAGCGGTAGCTGAAACACAAAAGAAGTTAAGAAGAGAAGAATTATGAATCAGGTAACCAACACGAATAAAATAACTACATAAGGAAACACAATAGCAGCCAACAACATCAGAATCGCAGTACAACGAACACGTGTACACACGAAACAATAGAGGTAAGCAAGGTGAATTTGTTTTTATGTCAAACCGAGTTAAGAGTAGTAGGACTATAGATGAGTCAAAACCCACATACCGGATCGAATTACAAAAGGGGGTAAAATTCATCCCTGACCCAAAAATCGTCAACACGGTTTCAACTCGCTTTGACCAGGTTAAATTAGATTGAAAAATCGAGTAAAATGCGTTCTCGACCCAATTCAATGATTACAAAAGTGGATAAAATTCATTCACTCCCCCAAAAGGGTCTAGGGTAAAAACTGTCCTCGACCCAAAATTCATCAACATTGGATTCAAATCGATAAAGTGGGGAGAGTTTTTAACAAAATCCACACCCTACCCAATTTGTTAATTACAGAAGCGGGTAAATTCATTCTCGGCCTATAATTTGGCAACACAGATACAGGGTCGGAAAATAAGCTAAATGCGTTCTCGACCCAATTCTGTGATTACAAAAGTGGATAAAATACATTCACGGCCCTACTCTGTCAAGGGTAAAACTCGTCCTCGACCCAAAAATTGTCAACACTAGAGATTCGAGCCTAATTGCACATATTTTACCACCGTTTTCCTTAGGCGTTTGTGGCAATTATGATCCTAAAAGGGTGGTTTTACGCGAGGTTTCTTGTGTTTTAGCATGTTTCAGCATTTAACAGGTGAAACTAGCCCCGGAGTCGAAAGTTGGACGAAAAGGAGCGAAAACCGGGAGAAGAGGTGAAAAACCGGCAGTTCACGGTTTCTCTTAGATGTTCACGGTCCGCTAAGACCGTGAAGAGGAGCTGTTGTCCATGAACTCCCAGGCGCCAGGGCCAAATCTTAAGTTACTGAAGCGAGGTGAGTTCACGGTCACTAAGACCATGAACTGGAGTTGTTGCCCGTAAACCCGTGCAAGCGAAAGCGGTGCGTTTCGATCCAACATTGAGTTCACGGCCGTGAACTGAGGCCGATTCCTGTTTAAAAGCATAGCTAAAAGGAAGGGAGAAGGGAGAGCCCAAGAGTGAGAAAGTGCCTTCTTCAGATTTTAGAGAGAGAAAGAACGAAACAAGGAAGGAAGAAGGCTAGGGTTTGCTCCAAGTGGTGAATTGGGAAGATTCTCCCCAAGAGAAGTTCAACATAAGCTCAAAGAAGATTGGAAGCATCACCATGATGGTTTCTACATCTTCCTCTTGTGTTTCTCCCCTTTCTAGCATGAAGTAGTTTCCTTTTTCACTTGGGTGTTGTGAAACCTTAACTATTTACCATGTAGTTTTTGTTATGTGATTGAATGATTGTTTATGGGTGTTGTTTAATTCAATGATTGAGTTATTTTTCATGTTGATTGTGCATGTTTGTGCTTAGCAATCTAATTGGCCATTTTAACCTAGATTAGAGAGGGAAGAACCCCTTTCAAGGGAGGCTCAATGAGTTGGGATTCCT